TCTATCTTCTCTCACTCATTGGTAGATCAATTTCGTCTTCTCTGCACTTTATCCACTATTTTTATAGGTTTCAGTAATACTGCTATCCGTTTTGCTTCGGGTTGGTTAACGAGGATTCCCTATCTTACTCCATTACTGGCTAATAATCTCGGCTTAGCTATTGCTGGTGTAGTCACATTACTCGTTCCATTCTGTAGTACATATCGACTTCTGGTCAGCTACTGCATTGTTTGGGGCGGTGCTATCGGTACTGTTTATTGTTCAATAATGATTCGATTCATACCATTCTCTCTTCCTTAGCTTTTCATATTTCTCTTACTCCAGTCATTGTCTGTCAATTGGTTGGTCTGGAAAAGTACAGTAGTGCATTGAGTTTAGTTTTTATGTTTCGAGGTATTGCGTCGTTGATTGCTCCACCAGTACGTTTTTACAATTATTTTCTCTTCTCAAAATGCATTTATCTATTTTATTCAGATTATGGGTGCGATTCAAGATTATACATCAAGTTTTAATGTTCCATTTGTCATTAGTGGTATTAGCTTTATAGTTAGCTCTCTTCTTCATTTCGTACTCATGGCTTTTACCCGTCAATCAACAACAAATTCGAAGAAGAAAGAGATGACCGTCACAACGACCAATGTATAACCGTCTTCTACTATCATCAATCATTTTCACAAACAGTTTATATTCTCTTCCATTCATTATCCATATAGCGTTAATAACCTGATTATTGAAACCTTCATAGTTTACTTTCTGTCTAGTGATCAAAGCAGACTTTTTCATATGTCTTCTCTGATGATGATCAGTTCTTGATTGTAAACTCGCTATTCATCAATAATGCCTTGATACGCAGCTGGAAAAGAACTTATGTTGGAATTTTATAATCCAGTGAAGCAGTCAGAAACAATAAGAATCAATCAGTAATGCGACTAGTATGCAAAATGCATAATAGGAAGTAAACGTGACATCATTTTAGATTTGACAAGCTATTTTCTCTTCATTTCATACTTGCAATTGATTAATATAGCCATTGGTTGTATATTGTTCATATCTAGAAGATTTCCATTCAATGGACTGGATGCGATAGTTGACGTAGAAAAAAGGTCTTAATGGTAGCACACAGGTCGAAGTACAAGTTAATGAGGGTGTGGGTGAGTGACTATGCATGTGGGCGCCATTATTCGACCGCTTCTACACCAACACCCACACTTACACCCTAGTTTACAATTATGAAACATTTACGAGAGAGTTATATAAGACTTGACAAGATCTAATAACGCTGTCGAGGGATGGCACCATGCATTCAACAATCGTGTATCAATTAAATATCCTTCTGTAACTAAACTTGCAAAATGTATATTACGTGAACAATCTTGATTAGAGATCGATAGTGAACAATTTCGTGTAGATGAACATCCCAAGAAAAAAGGAAAAGTTTATGCAAATTTTGATGTATGATTGAAAAGAATCGTGCTGTCTTATGATGTTAACAATATCGAGGAATATTTAACTCGAATTGCTATAAACTTGAAAATAAGCACTTGAATATAATTTAAATAAACTTTATTTCATATTGTTGTAATGTAAATGAATACTCACAATTTGGGACGAAATGTAAGGGAACGAAATAAATTTGTGACAAATTGTAAGGAGACAAATTGTAAGGGAACGAAATGTAAGTGGGACGAATTGTATGGAACGAAGAGTAACGGGACGAAAAGTAGGGGATGAAGTGTAGGGGTACCATTTTCTTAATTAAATCATAGAAAAAATAATCAAGAATAAATATCAGAGGAAAATTATAGTTCTTCTTGAAATTCAACTTGTTTATCATATGGCCATTCGACTGAGTATTCGAACAGAAGTCGACATTCGCCTCTTGATGGTAGTATACATTTCCATTCTAAATTATTGGTATCCTTTAATGTTATGGTGTTGTGTGGATTATTATCTTTTCGTCGTAAATCTGGTTGAATCAAATTGACTTTGATCTTTTCATCGGATGATAATGGAAGTTGATCATAAATATAAACAGCCACTTCATGGGTCTTAGTGTTCGTAATATGGGTTTCGTGACGAACAGTTTTGAGATGAGTTTTGGAAATAATACCTTGAGTATCGCTTGTTTTCTTTACTGGTTTATATTCAATTTTGATACCAGAATCGATACCCAATGGTAGATCAAATATATCACCTATACACACATTATCGATTGAGCCATGTGCAACAAAATTGTTGTTCATGAAAATAGATGCAGGACCCGTTAAAAGATACTTGTCAGATGTATTCAAAGTCGACGCTTTCATATAGGCATGTAATGATAGTTTCGGCACAATTGTATAGCTAAAGGTCGAAACAAGATTGAGTACACCGATGGTCAACTTGTGTGGTTTACCCTATTTTTACAGACAGAAATATTCAAATTGACAAAGATTTATTAGATCAAATTGAGACTTACATCGGCATCGATAGTCGATCGACGAGGAATCGTGAAACTAGTGATGGAAAAACTCATGTCAGCTTTTGATCCTAATATGTTGACAATATTTTGTGACGTATCTTCATCATCGTTGTAAGAATCAGCAGAACTAGTTAATGACGTTCGCTCACGTACATGCGATAACTCTTTTGATGCTCTGCTCATTGATCCACCCATCGACAACATACTCTGTGCAGCTGAGCTCATGAAGCGTTGTGGAACACCATGATATTGACGGTTGCTGACTTTAAGTGTGGCCAATTTGGGAGCGGAGCCACCTAGAGATGGAGTTGCTGTAGACAATGAGAATTGTGTATCAGACCAATTCTCTTGACTTTTATTGATCTACATATAACATATAGAATACTAAAATACATGAAGAGATTTAATGATAATAGATATGAGCTTTTCAGAGATAGCCTCTTTCTCATTATTAGTTCCTAATCTAAAACAACGGATGAAATAACCGATCAATTTTTTTTTGTAACAAAAATAAAAAAAGCTGCTCAACAAAATAAACAAAAAAATCATATTATTTGAAAAATGAGTTTTAAACTGAACAATAAACTGATATTATTTGATATGAAGAAAAAATCTTTAAATTCGACCATTTTTTCTTCTAAGAAACAACGGAGTTTCGTTCGATTTATGTCATCGATTTGCATTTAATTTCGATCACTGTGTCTTTTCAGTAAGCTTTTTGACAAAATCGCTCACTATAGACTAGTATTTTATAGATTTCATCTAAGAATTAGTTGAAATGTCTGTAAAAGACACTGAGCTTAGCATTTGATGAAAGAGTGATGTCACTATAGTCTTTCATAAAAAAATTCAAAATGAGAATAAATCATTTTGAATCATCTATTTCCTTGTGGAATTCGTTTGAATAGGAAAACATCTTTGCTATCACTATATCTATGATAAGAACTTGAACTACTCTCTAAAGCAAAAAAAGAAGTCATATTGAACCTTTCTAAGTTTGAACCAAAAGGTCTCGAACTTCAAAAGATTCTCGCCCAAAACTGTGGAGATATATAACTCTAAACTAATTGAATTCTAGGTAAGATAAATCAAGGAGAAATAAGAGAATTCTCATTCAACCTCATGATATTGTCGTACTCATAAATGACTTCAAAACTGTCAATATTGAAGCTAATAGAGAACAATTAATAAAAATATAAAGCTTGATTCATTTGGACATTTTAAAGATTTAGGTAATGTAAGGTTTCTGGAAAAATGTATATATATGTATATATATTACTAATTGGAAAAGATTCCTATGTAATGAAACAATACTTACAATGATACCGTAATAAGTAAGTTGAGTTTTTGGTTGCCTTCCTTCTCCACTATCAACCCGTATATCATAGCTTGCACTCCATGAACAATTGCTGATTAAATATGATACTTCCAAGGCAACATCAGTTTTACTACTAGCTACATGAATAGTAATACTCACTTCACGCTGTTCTATGCGTCGATTAATCATTGCTTGTGAACCATGTTCATTTATTTTGGCTGTGAGTGCATCACATCGACTGTTCAATTCTTTCAATTGTCGTTGTTCTTGAGTTGTTTCTTTATCTATTTTACTGAGCATTTTGTGATAAAAGTTAAGAAATTGTTCCATTGTTTCAAGGTCACTTGTACTCAAAGGTCCTTCTTGATTCATCAGTTGTGATGCTCTTCCATCAAGCCATGTTCGTTGTTTTTTAAGTCGATCAAGTTCTTGAGCATGTTCATCGATATCTGCTTGAACAATTTCTAATTGTGTTTGCAATTGATCGAGTGGTGTTGTGTCAGATAATGATGTCGATGGATCTTCATAACGTTTTTGATAGGAAACTTCAAGAATAGTACATGCTTTGCCTGTTCCACCGCTAACACGAAATGAAGTTAGATCGGTACAAGGAGATAAACCTTGAAGAACAAGATCATAAGTGCCTTCATTATCGAAATGATATCGAAGAAGACGTGTTAATTCTGCACGATCATTGTACACAGTTACAAACTGAACTGGACATTCTTGCTTGATATTAATATGAACGATTGTGGCGGATGGTGGTGTATTCGTTGTCAATATTGTCTCTGCCATTTGTTGCTTTTTATAAAAATTATCTATGTGATTTACTTCAATACTTATTTCTAAAATAACAATAAAGAACACGCTTGAAAACGTGGCAGCTATTTACCTGTTTGTAGTTGTTATCGTCGTGGCGTATAAGCTAATGCTGAAAAACAGAATGAATCAGCACTGAAGGCCACGTATCATATAAAAAAACAGAATAGCAAAATGACATATTGAATGAATCATTAGAAAAAAAAACGCGAGAACGCAAGAACAATTATTTATCTAAATCTTCTAAATCGAGATATATTCGCATTTTTCAAAGTTATTTCAGTTTTATAAACAAATAAGCAAAGATCTTTTATTATCAAAATGAATTCATCAGTATTGAATATCATTTGAATAATTTGAAGATTCGAAGATAATATCGTAAAATTCAATAGAGAAAATCGAATGTATATTTCAGCTGCATCACCAATAATATTTACATTTTTAGCGATCCGTATCGTGTTTAAACATTATTGTTGCTTTTTTCGTGAGGAGTCTGTGTCATAGACTTTATTGATGATTATCAAAAAGAAAATATTGACTCAAGTTAATAAAATTTCTTTTATCAATTTGCCAAAATTACTGGTGACACGAGCAACAGAGAGGTTGAAGACTTGAAAGAGGGTAGCCCTCTCCTGGTTTGAAAAGGCTCTGATCAACTTCCTTCGATTTTGAGAAAATTTGAGCTATAAATATCGAAGTTCTATTTTCTCCATATTACAGAAGTTTGTAGAATAAAATCAACATGATACTAAGAGTAGTTTGCTTTGACGTTTATAAAGTGGCCAATGGTTTTTCGCTTTGAAAATATACAGTTTTGTAGCTTTTGAAAAGTTCTATCGAATTGACAAGACCAGAAGAAATATTCGTTCTAATTTTAAAGACAAAAATGTTTGCAAAGATGAAGGTGTATCCGACGTACCAGAGCCAAATTATGACACTTTGTGGATGACCCAAAGTCTCTTGAACGTAATAGTGACTCATTGAATTTAGTATCAAAATGCTGATCTAAACGTGTACTTTCATCTCATATGTGATTTGACTTGATTGGGAACAAAAAGTCTAGTAAGCTGATTTATGATCTTATGCATCCCGTCATTTGTCAAAAAAAAGATTGTCAAAAACAATTAAAAACCACATATTCATAAACAGTTCGTCGAGCTGCATCCAACCATATACAAATATTCGAAAAATGAAACTTACTGCAATTTTGCTGGTTTCGCACCTTACAAATTAAAGAAAATACGTTTCTGATATTTTTTGCATTTGGATATGGTATCGATAGACTCCAAAATGGTTTCTTCATATATTTTCTATTTTTAGGGCAGAAGAGATTTTCCATTGTAAAGCCGTACTATATTCACGATCTCACGTCGAGAAACTGAACTTTCTATTTTTTTTTTTATTATGACTTTTTTACTTTATGAAGAAAGCAAAAGAGAAGAATGGCATTTAATACATGTAAAGCAAAAGAAGGAAACGAAATGGGGATGCAATACTCTTTCTTTGTTACTTTCATTTCTACTTATTTTCTCTGCCTGTCACTCCTCCTTGCCTTAACGGCAATTTCATGGACATTATCTTTTAGACGAACAATCAAGAACGCACTGTCAGCCCTCTGAACATTAACTCATTTCAAACATAATCGTCGACTGCCATCGCGACCATCGACAGTATCAGTTCTCTTTTTTTTCTTACTGTTATGTGTTGTGCACTTATCTGTATTTGTAAGAATTGATCACTTCTAACGCTAATAAGTATGATTATTTGCTGGTTTTCATCATATGCACAAATATTCTTCTTAGGATTCTTATTATCAAAAAAAGTACGACATTTGAAACATATGTCAATATACGATAAAATCGAGATGACTATTTTTGTACGTATGTTTCATAGAATAACGAACAAATTGTGCCACAGAAATTAGTCGTTTTTGGTGCAGCAGAAGTATAATAAATAAATCGATGTGAGACGATCCATCTGTTTTTTTTTTCTTACACAATCATATACTTTTTCATTCTCGATTTTTCAAGCTAAAGCAAATTGAGTTAAAAGCAAAATCCATAATAATAATCATTGTGTTAATATTTTTCTTATTTCATTTCGGTAAGTGCTGTCGAAACTGACTTTCTGTATTCAAAAACCCCCATGATAACAGTTCTTCGAAAGATTCCGGTGCCTGAGAGTGTAGAAAAAAAATTTACCATGATCTCATATTAGTGAACGAGTGTTAATCTATATCTACATTTTATTATTTTGGTGTTGTTTTATTTTAGTGAAATGAGTGGACTCAGTAAAGAAAATTATTTAAATCAAATAATTCCCCCCTGGTGTAAAAGTGAAAAATATACCTCTAGTGAAAGCAACAAATGAGTCATTAAAGGATATTGGCTATTTGATTACTTCTCCGGGTGATGTTACCGTGCAAAACGGCAAATTTGATATAGTTCCCTGGCCTACAAAGGGATGGAGGGCACTTGATCCAAATACAGGAAATGAAGCTGGAACAACTGAAGGATCGATGGAGATTTATTGGGAAGGAGATCGTTTATATGGTAAAAACCATGCTATTGCTACTGATTCTAATCACTATTTACTTGGATATGGAAACTTACCATTGCAATCGGCATCATTATCTAACTCAAATATAAGTGAGCAATCGGAGATTTCATCTGTTTTCGTTTGGTATTCAGATTATCATCCTGATGGTGGCCAGTTGTTCTTTCCCACCAATGGTAAATCGTTCATTTCCAATTTGGCTCCAGCTGTAGGTGATGATATTACACCTGATCATTTCACTGCTTTTTATGTAAGTGAGGGTTATGGCCTATATATTTATCCAGGTGTATGGCATAATGCTGTTTATATACATCCATCTCATTCCCCAGTCTCACTTTTTAGCCGTCAAGGTCGCATCCATGCTCGTATATCTGTTGACTGGGTGAAAGAGTTTAATACTCTTTTACGTGTTCCTCTCACCATTGTAGCTAACAAATAATCGATATGAATGTGTGAATAGAATCAAATAAATTAATCATTATTTGTGTTGTCATCTATTCTCAATTAAACTAGCACTAGGATCGAGCTGAACCAGCTGCCGAAAATGCCTTTTATTTTGATAAATAAAAATATATCATCTATCAAACTACGGCTTGGATAACATCGAAGCGAAATGCAACATAACTCGTAGAACTTTATTGTGAAAACAAATTCTGACAAAAATGCCAACATATTTGAGTTCATCTGATTAACTTGGTATTTTGACAAATGTAGTTGTGAAGCCGTTATCATCTCGGATCGATTCTGTCGTTGAAAAGTGATGACGAACGGACGTATCCTGTTACGTACACGTTGCAGGATGTACAGCATTTCGAATATTTGTAGCAAGATCATCGAATATGCCTTGAGGGTGTGGGTGTGAGTATATATTGATCAGTATTGAGAAAGAGAACACCTACATCCACACCAACACGCTACACTCACACTCTACTCTCATATTATAGATCAAACAAGAGGTTCAAAAGTAATATTGATAAAAACGTCTTACAACTAGCAACAATTGATAACTAATGTAATGTTAACAAGAACAATCAATCCTCTTATCGAAAAATCCTGGATACATTCCTGAGTTTTTGAAGTGGATGAGACTCCTGTTTAGTTTTACCTGACGCACACCCGATCATTTCCCATTAGGTTATTATTGGAAAACGAATTTTTTAATTAAACTTCATCAATCATAATCATAAAGATACAAATAAATTCACAAAGATTTTTGGAAAGAAAAATATCTTAACACATACAACTTGTTTGTTATGGTACAATTATTTTCTAATTTTTATGATCGTTTTCGATCACGAATACTAGTTACAATCGCTATACAATTGTAATACCTCCTTCAATGACAATTCACAAAACTGTCGAAAACGGTAATGAAGATGATAATCTTTCACGTAGGTATTTTGAGGAAAATGAAACATAATAGTTTGCTTTTTTCAACTTCATTGGAGAAGAAGAATATAACATATCATCTAACTAACATTCAAATAATATCAAATGACCTAGGATGGAAGTTAAAGAATACAATATTCAGTGTAAAAAGAAAATATGTTCAGCATGATAGACGATTATATGTAATAGAAAAGATGTTCATCAATAAGATCGAAGAAAAATAAAAGAATAAAATTTAAATAATTGAATGTTTAATTTCATGTGAATCTTGTAA